GGAAGGGAAGGGAAGGGAAGGGAAGGGAAGGGAAGGGAAGGGAACAATTAGCAAGAAGTAAATCACAGGACTGCAAGGATTGGAAGAGATATCAGGAGATTATTGAGTCCAAACCCCCTGCTTTTAATGCAGGTACCCTATAACAGGATGCACAGCTAGGCATCCTGACATGTCTTGAATATCTCTGCAAAAGGAGAATCCTCAACCTCTCGGGGCAAACTGTTCCAGTGCTCTGTCACACATACTTTAAAGAAAGACTTGTGTTAGCAGTAATGTGATAGGAAGATGACAGGCATTATATGAAAAACAACAGCAAATATAATATTGCCCTTAACCCTACAGACTTGGTGAACCAGCAGAACCAGAAAAAACTAAAAAAAAAAAACAACCAAAAACTTTATTGTGAAGACATATGAAAATACTTAATTCATATTTATGCAAAATTCAATTTTATACGTAAACAATATAATAAATTGTATCGGAATCACTTTACTTTGATTTCAATATGATCACTACATACTTGTTTAATTACAAATTTTAGTGATACTGAGAGGAAATCAGGACACTTGCATTGTATAAGGTTCAAAATAAAATTTAAAGCTGATGAAAATTAAAAAGAAATACGGGAACTTTATTCACACTTCTATAATGCATATTCAAAAAGATGATTCTCAAGCAAACTAAAATGAGGTTCTTACGGACGGAAAATATTTGAGGTGCGTACTGAAGGTCCCATTAAACAAAGAAAAACTTCAGCTTGTTTTGGATGGTCAAAAATATCATCACTGCTTACATTTTCCATCTGAAAATATGTATGCAATTTACAAATTACAGAAATATAATTTTAAATGAAAGAAAACTAACGAAAATATGAACATCACGCAACAACTGCTTTTGAGGAGCAGCTTCCTTACAGGATTTAAAAGGTGACAGATAAATAGAGCCAATTAATTTAATCTCAAAGTTTATTAAAACACGAGTAAATAAAAGAAAGTAAAATTCCAAGAATGCTGAAATTATGAAAAGGAGATACTTTCATTTATCTTCAGCATTCAACTGAAAAATAACAGTGCTCTTTTAACAGTATTAGATCCCAGACAAATACACCCAAAAGTTTTAAAAATATCTTGGGATTCTTCAGTAGTAAAATCACTAGAGATAACAAAAAATATTGTGAAAATCCTCAAAATAAAAACTACCATTTGATCTAAAACCATAAAGCTACCATATGAGATGACAACCTGTTACATTGAATCAGATTAGCAAAAATAATTTTCACTACAGTGTTTACAGTCAAACCTACTGCCATTTATCCTGGAAATTATTTCAGACTTACTTTTAACTATATGGATCAGCAAAAGACTGTAAACACTGTCGATCAAATGTTTGAGAAGTGTTAACAAAAAAGGTACTGCATATGTGCCTGTATGTTGATGAAATACAGATACCTTAGTTACTATGCTAGGTGATATTAAAATGTTCATCGCAAGGCAATTGGAAGATTACAGTATAAACTGTTATAGAAAGGTAGAACACAAAGATTTAAATAAAAATTGAGAACAGGTGCTGTTTGCAAGTTCACATATTTCTTCTTAGGCTTTGCAAATTTATGTATTCCTTAAAACAATTATTTAAGGTTAATTCAATATTTTGTGTGTTTCCACAATTATTTCTATTCAGATGTTATGTGAACAAATAGTATTTAAAATTTGATATAGTGAAAAATAAAATCTAAAACAAGATAATCACCAGAAAATATTAAAGAAAACACAAGAATTTTGTGTAGATTACCATATACATTTCTAAATAGCAGCACCTCCTTGCACCTACAAGGAGAAGATTTCAAGTCAAATGAATGCTTTACATCTTTACTCAGTGGACACTCTTATTCAGAAATAAGAGGTTTTTATTCCATTTTAAAGAGTTGCTTAAGAAAGCAAATAAAGATTTCTAGCTATGAATAACAGCAATGCTTAATTCAGAAAATTTCAGTTGAGCTTTGATGGCATTCACATTGAGCACTAATCTAAATCTGATTAAGCTCCTATTCGTTTTGACAAAACACATCCTGATTGAGGTTTATTAATTTAATGAATCCTGAATCAAAAATAATGGGAAAATATTTTTTCTGGACGTTATTGGAATGTGATAGTTTGGTTGGTTTCATAAAAGAGGTTGAACTATAAATCTAGAGGAACCACCAAATTCTCCTTATTTTATGTCTATCTCCTTATTTCTTCCAGTTTAGGACTCAAAGAAGGTGAGGAAGTTCTTGCATTAAAAATCAAGTAATAAAATCAGTAACCAACAGCTTCACAGAATTATAAGTGCCTTTGTTTCCTGTATTGCTATGGAACACATATCTGAAACTGAGATTTCTACTCACATCCCTGCATCCTTTTGTCCAGGCTTTTTTCTTGTTCTTTGCCTATTCTGTTATTCTCAGAATAACATTTCTGCACCAACATGCCCTGACAGTGTTGTACTGGTGGGTTCTCGTGTAAAGCAACTGCCATCAGCATAAGAAAATCTCTAATTCCCCACTTTTTACAGTCTTTCATTGTAGCTCTCCTTTTATATTTGGGAACCCCAAAATGTGCAGGCAAAAACCTTAAGAAACAACTAACCATGCAGTCCTGGCCTTAATGAACAGATGTAGTAACCACCTCTATTGGCATCAAAAAGCAGGGACAGTCAGCAGTGGGTTTTAGCAGGTCCTTGTGAAAAAAACGTAGTTATCATGGGAATAATATTATAGTGGAACCAACTGCTGTACTGCAGACGATGCTTGCCTCGAGACCCAGACTGCTTCACTTCCCAGCTGGTCACTGAGAAATTTTTCTATTTCCTCTCCTCTCCTTCTTTCTCTCAATTTCACCATCAGAGTCAATGTATGCTATGAACTACAGATACTACCAATAAATATTCATGCACAGGAATTTGTTTCAACATCCTTTGTTGTCCAATATTACTGATTGGTGTATCACAATATGAAAATCTATTTAACCATTTAGAAAAGTCTCTACAAAATAATTACTACGTAGGAAGAAAACACATTGTCATCCCAAAATATCTTGTACTAAAGTTAGATGAAGGAGGAATTTTCAAACTGAATATAAACACAGTCAGCTACTGAATACACATTATTTGAACTTAAGAATATAGACGAGTATCTGGAAGACTAGTTGCAAAGGATACTCGCTTCATAGGTCTTGTGCAGCCCAGAAACATACTAGCCCAGAAAGTCTGTCTTCCAAAAGCATATTGAAAAAAACAGTAAGTGAAGATGAGGAGGTAGAATACTTTTTAGAACTTGACACTGTCCTAAGAACACTTTCCTTTCACACCTATGCTCCCAACAGGCTGCAAATTTAGCGTACAAAATATCAGTGCTTTAAATCAGTTAGTATAAAATCTTTATAAATGAACAAAAAGCTTTTTAGTACTTACCTGAAGAGTGTCAAAACAGAGATGCTTCCAAACATAATTAAGTTTACATCATCATATAATAATTCCGCTTTGTTCTGGGTAGGAGCGCTGACTGCTTCTTCATCAAGAAGAACTAGTAAGACCTTTATGGTATCTCTGCCACAATATGCAGTGCCATGGTTTATGGAATGCAATTTTGGCTGAAAGCGAATAACGTTAAAGAGAACATACTGCAAGAAAGGTCAAAAAGTGAAATCAATAGCTCACCTCCAAAAGCAACTAATAGCAGAAGATGCAAGAACCCCCTCCTCCCCTTTCCCAGTAAGCATCTATCAAGTAACATGACTACATGGAAGATTCTTTTTCATCCCAAGGAATGAGTAGAATTTAGATCATTGCCAACTAGAGGCATACACTGAAAAGCAAGTCACACAAATATTCAAATCTGTGATGAAACCATGCTGCTGAAACTAACATATTATTTCCTTAAAACCAGCTCGAGTGCCACACAAACATTCTAATGAAGTCCAACTCTTGTAACCGAATCTGCAAAAGCAGCTGGTAAAGAGAGATTTTTCGACCAAGATATGGCAAGAGGTACAATCCCCTCTTGTTTGTAACACGATAAATTCCTCAGTTTTCCACAAGAATTAAAAAGTACTTAAAGAAAATAACAATTCACATCTGGAAAAGTTCAATGCTATAGCCAGCAGATGCAGAATTTCATAGGATTGCTAGAGTTGCAAGTTTATAGCATTTCTCTGTAAAGTTCTAGGGGTTTTCTAAACAAATGTAGTGCTAAATACACAGTATTAAGGTTTAAAAACCACAGTCTTTCTTATTTACCAATACAGAGAAACATACAGTAGCCTAACTTTGTTTAGAACAGGGGAGGCAACAAACTGCATTTCTTTAATCAGTTAACTGTTTTCAACACAGCCTTGAAAAGATCAAATTCTATTTCTCTCCCTATTTTATTATATCAATTAGTGTATGTAGCCTTCAAGAAGCCATAGCAACACGTCAGTCAGTTACTATAAGTTATAATCAATAGCTAGAAATAGCAATTACAGAAATGGTTATTATACTTGATTTTACAAAATTGGTCTATTTCAGTAACATCTAATTTCCTCAAAATTTATTCTGGACCTCTTCAGTCATTACATCACTTCATCATCCACATCATGGAATTTTATAAAACGCCATGTGGGTCACGGTAAATTTATCTTAATGAAAAAAGTATGAGTTTGACAACAGCTTGACTGATTATATACAAAGAAAATGTAACAATAATAACGTGTAGAATATAGTATAACTTCCTAACTGCCAAAAGATGACCTTCAGAAATCTCACGTACTACTACAACAGTAGCTTGGTGTATTAAATACTATTGTCCAAAAAACAATAGGAACTTCAGGCAAGATAAAAATCCCTGCCACAAAAATCTTGTTCATTATTAAAATAATGACTCTAAATATTTTTTCAAGTAAACTATTTATTAATCTTTCAAGGGAAGTAACCATTAACTACTCCAGACTATTCAAGCCAGTTCCAGAAATGCCAACTGTATTCAATTTACAGCAGTAAATTTCTAAGGAAGAAATTCATCACAATTGCTATTAGTCACTCATGAAGTCTTCAGTGAAAAGTTGTATTTCCTTCTGCATAAAATATTGATTTTTTTTACAGCTTTAGACTTTAATAAAACTGATATTTACAGGAAAACTGAGCAAAGATGTAAGAAAACTAATAGGAGAAAAAGCAAATATTTTTCCAACAAAATATCTCTCAGGTATATTTTATACGACCTGAATAGAAACCAAAGTACATTTTATGTAGTGCCAGTCTTTCTAAGAGCTGCTGGAGGCATCCTTTTCAGATCTACAGTTAATTTCAGATTTACAATTTGTACTTAAAGATGTGAAACTCAGCAGAGATTTAACCTTTGCTGTCCTAAGATCTTAATGGAGCAATACAGACACTCCAATTTTTCTTCACAGTTCAAATTCATTTGGAAAATGCATGGAAATCTTTTATTATCAAAATCCATAATAAAAACCCTCCCATCTATGTGTGTTTAGTATAATGTCTTTCTACTGAAAGCTCCACTGAAACCTGCAGTTTGAAATCTCTGCTTAACATTTGCCCATGCTTTCTTAGTGAGCACTAGATTTCTCAAGCCAACCAGCATATCAGCCACATTCAGGCCACAGTCATCCCTCATGGCTGTTAGCTATATCTGTACGTACATACTATGCATATGCATGTTCTGTGGTGCATATGGTGAAAAGGATTAGCTTAAAGCCCATCATTTTCTGATATGTACTCAAGTTTTCTCACAAAAAAAAAACTATAATAGAATCTTCCCACTCAAAAGCAGATTGGTTCTTCCAACAGAGAGATTAAATTCAAAAACGTAATTGGGAAAACCTTCAACATAGAACCACTGACTCACAGTAATATAGTTAAGTAGATAAGCTGCCTACAGACGCCCATTTTAACAAAACTTCATGCTGTTCTTAACAGAATTAAGTACTTCCATGTTTCTTGACAACCATCCCACTATTTTCTGCCTCAACAAGGAAACTAGAAAAAATTTCTACAGACTATTAGACTACAGTATCAACCTATAGAAAACAGTAAGAAACATAAGCTATGTTAGAAAAGCATTGCTTGGTAAATCAGAAGAATCTTACCTAGCTGATAAAAAATCTAAGACTTTAGATTTTTTTTTTCAGGAATCCAGGTCTCCAGATAAAGACAGAGATAATAGGGCTGCTAACTTTTCAGATGGAGCAGAGAAAGAAAAAGACAAAGACAAGAAAGGGAAATGGTAATACAAAGCAATGGAAACCTCGGGAGATGCAGTAAAATGAGGATGCTAATCCGTAGAAACACGTATTTAAATCAATTTAACTGTCCACTAAGATCTAGAGGCTTCTACTTCTTATTGAAAAACAAAAGGATATTGGAAGTTTTATAAAAATCTGATAGAAATCTTGTTACTATGGGGTAATTCCAGTGATTTGGCAATACCAAGCACTCTAAGAATATACACAAAAAGTGTTTAGCAGATTTTAAAAGTTTCCTAGACAAAAACACATAAGATATTGTTTTCTATATACCAACAATGTAAAATAAACTTGGTTGATGTTTCATTAGAAAAATATCATAATAGAAAACCGTGTGGATTCAAAGTACAGAAATCACAAATAAAAACATGTATTCAGGTATACTCTCCACACCTATCTTTCAAAACATTAAATGTTTTGATTCCCTCCAAGAAAAAAAACACACACATACACGCAAAAAAAAAAGCATTAGTTACTAATTAGTGTTAGTCTTGAAACACTGAAAGAGAAAAGCATACACAGTATTTGGGTTTTCATTCGTTATCCCTGCCAAGGTTTCACCATATTCCGGACTTCTTTCATATTCAACCATATTTTGAGCTTCTTACACTTAATAATACTTGACTCAGAGCTAATTAAAATTTGTGTTCTTTAATCAAAGTGCAGATGTATGTTGTCAAATCTTAACTCCACTTTCAAGAGGGCTTTTTTCTGCATGGAAATGTTATAGGTCTACTACTTTGAAATTACTGTCAAATCTAACAGTTACAAGTATTTACATTTAGAACTGCTGCAAGAACAAAATAAATTTTGAACAGCATTTCATGTACTATTTCAATGTAAGAAGCTTAAATAAAACATCTTTTTGAAATCCACACTGTAATCCTAAAGTATAAGTCTTTCAGCAAGTTTAAAACCACATTGCAGAGGAAATGACACTGCTCTATTAGTAGGAAAAGCTAATACCCTATATAAAAGTCTTTAAAAAAAAAAACAAAAAAAAACACAGAACAACAACAAAACCAGGAGAAGGACATTTACTTTCTTGTAAAGCTAAATAGTAAAAAGAACAAAAGAAGTCCCATTACCCGTGTTGGACTGACTCCAGTGGCACTAACAGTCAAGACTTCATGTTGTGAATCGATAATATTTTTAATCCTCAAATCCAAATCTTGTACAACTTCCTCTACTGCCTGATAGAAAGGATCCCCATTGCTTCGGCCTTTCATCAAATGCATCTTCACTGTTGACAGAATTTGCCCCCCTGCAACTCTGAAAATAGGCAGAGGGTCATCTCCACATTAATCTTGGCAGCACTTTAGTATACCTATTAGTGTTGAACATAGCTAGTCTTCACAGTTAATCAAAACTCTTCGGAGAAAAGCTTTGATCTTTCAAATCAAAGAGCAATGTGGAAGCATTGTCCAACATAATAGCCTGCTTAAGAAAAACAGAGATTATAAGAAAAGTTAATGAATTCAGCATTTAGTACTAGTCTGACCTGCAACACAAAACTAACTTTTCCATAAAGTCCAAAGAAAAGCGCTTTCTTTAAACCAATAGTTACTGTTTCGCTTGTAAGCTGCTAAGTGAACAAACATGGATCCTAACTTAACATCCAATTCAGATTTTGAGCATTGTGTTTCATGAAAGTTCTTTAAAATATCATTCTGCTTTCAATTTTGTTTCAGTAGTTAGTAATTAGACTAAATGAACATTCTGTTTTTACATAAAGGTACACAGTACCAATCTTCTTTATAATCAAGAGAAAACATAGAGTATATTTACTCTAAGTCCAGAAACATCCATGAAGTTAGACATAAAAAATATAAATAATTGAATGCCAAAATATTTGTTTTGCCATAGGCAAGGCCAAGGCCAACTTTTCAACTTCCTCCACACTTAATAGCTACCTAATTTTCCTAAAACGATACCTTGTAAATACAGAGACAGTCATATTTTGCACACATTAAATTCTAAAGAGAAGTCTCAGAATTCCTGCTAGGAACACCTCCATCAAGTAAAATTCTATCTGTCTAGATTCATAATCCAAAATAGAAAATAACTGTGTGGGGCTAAGGAAGAACAAGGACTCTGTCAGAGGGAAACAAGTTTGTTTATATTGTTTTCTGTTAAAATACATGGAAGGAATGGGGCCAGGCATCTTGCTGCTTTGGATTACTCTGGCTGAACAAAACTCCTGGTAAATAACTTAGAAGCCCTGAAGTTAATATGAAACATTTTTGGCTTTTTTCCAGGTCAAAAACAACTATTTCCATGCAGTTTTCAGCTTTAACTTTTACAGATTAAAGATTATTCAATTCACATTAGAATTCACAGTCTTGTTTAAACAGATAAATGATAGCTTTCCAGAAGCTTAAGCACAATGCATGAACTCAGCCAAAAGGAAAGTCACCAGGTGAAGTCCCTCAGCACAAAGCTCAAGAACCATAGCACATCTTAAAGAGAGGAAAAAACCAATGCTTGAGTACCTCTGCTCCAAAAAACACAATTCAGTCTAACCACAAGAGAATGAAAAGTTCAAGGGGAGAAAAAAATAAAAATCATTCAGTGCAAGTTGTCAAGAGGTAAGAGAGTATTGTTGAAGAAAATTCTGTATCAGAGATATGTATAGGAACTCTAGCCAAGCCTCCTGATACTTGCCAAACAGTTTTATTTCCTCAGGACTAAAGTGATATTTTCCAAAACAATACCCTCAACTGAGAAAAGCATTGTATTAACTGAGGAGTATCTGCTCCATAAACACCGTATGGAATCTACAACTCTAGAACAAACAAGCAGGTGAAGTGTTTGGCTGAAGCTGTGTTTCAAAGTATAGATCTTCCCTATATATGCCCAGGGATATATATATACATAATGTATGTATATGCTGGAAGAAGGATTATTCCATATACAACACTGGACACAAATTATAAAAAAAGATAATTGCATCCTTAATTAAAATGCTATGTGTTGTCTGTAATTCTTGATTACCTTGCAGTTTTTCTCCACGGAAGAAAAAATAGGATAAAAATATTTTCTATTTATTTGTTTGGTATTTTTTTGCTTCTACAACTCAATGCCAACTAAGGATATTAGCTGTCATACGTAAAGTTAATTTAATCTATTTTTCTCCCCATATTCCCTCTTCTTTTCCAGGAAAGAGTTCCAGTTCCCAATCTGACATACGTAGTACTAATTGGAGCAAAGAAAAGTTTATTCATACTTTAATGAGATATTATATAAATAAGACATCAAGTATTCATCTAATGTGTATGGATTAGTTACTGAAACACTGTGCCACAGCTTATGCATTTTACAACAGGAAATGATATTGAATGAAGAATTCAATATCATTTGTGATATATTCAATATCATTTGTTGTGAATTTTATTAAAATACTGAACAAATTTATGAAATGCTGTATACACCTCTCCTTGGTGCTACTCATAAACTTACTACAAAAAGCCCTCACTGACCAAGTCTTATAGTTTCATAACGTACACTCAGACCAGTCTGAGTTGGAAAAGCAATTAAGGCGTTCTTTAGGCAGTTAACTATGTTATCTATAGCATCAATTGAGATGGTTAGGCCACTGTTAAAATTTAAGCAGTCCATTTGGTAGTAGAAGATCATCATCTGTTCATCAGAAAAGACAACTCACTGGATCAAAAATGTTTCAAAAAGCAATAATCTTGAAGGTAGATTTATAAATTAAATAACAGATGCAATACTTCTAATTCAAGTAATAAAATAAGTGACCTGAGAATCTCTAGATCCACTAGGAAAATTTCATTGCTACTGACATTCAAGCAAAGTTCACCTAAAAGCATGAAAATAAAAGGAAAATGCTGTAAAAATGCAGCTTTTGGGGGTTGTGCTGGTGGTTTTTGTTTTGTTTATTGGAAAAGGAGTCTGAATGCCAGATTACTCTCATTCATATTTCCTAGAAAAACCATTTGAATCTAAATGGAGTGTAAAATATCTGGCATAGTACTAGATAGCAAATGTTTATATGAATTAAATGAGGTAGAAAACTGCTACCCACCTTGCAATTCCTAACAGCTAGAATGCCAGTAAAAGATTGTTTTCAATATGGAATTGTATCAACCAACTTATCTGTCTTAAAATCATTTTTTGCATCAGCAGACGTTAAGAATTTTAATTCTTCTTAATGCTGAAAGAGAAGGGCAAAACCCAAGTGAATTCAAGAATAAACATTAAACCAAGTAATGCCATTTGTCTTAGGTAATACTGAACTTGGGAAACTTTTTCCTTTCCAGTCAGGATGCCTGCTAACAATTCTCAGATCTCAGGCTGCTGACATGAAATATTCTAAAACAAGGTGCGTAAGTCTCACATCATTGGTCTTCTAAGTCATATTATGCAAGGACTCTTTTCAAATCCAATTAACAACAAATATCACTCAGTTATCACTATAATAGATATCCTAAGATAGCAGTTTTTTTAAAGATCTCTAATAATATGATTTTCTCATCAGAGTCACATGCAACAAGATTTCTTTGTTCTACATAGAGGAAAGAGACCTGGGGGTTTTAGTCAATGCTTGGCTGAACATGAGCCAGCAGAAGGTGGCCAAGAAGGCCAATCGCATCCTAGCTTGTATCAGAAATAGTGCTGCCAGCAGGAGCAGGGAACCGATTACCCCTCTGTACTCAGCACTGGTGAGGCTACACCTCTAGAGCTGCGTTCAGTTTCGGGCCCCTCACTACAAGAAAGACACTGAGGCACTGGAGCGTGTTCAGAGAAGGGCAACGAAGCTGTGAAGGATCTGGAGCATACATCTTAGGAGGAGCAGCTGAGATAACTGGGATTACTTAGTCTGGAGGAGGCTCAGGGGAGATGTTATCACTCTCTATAACAACATGAAGGGAGACAGTGGTGAGGTGGGGTTGGCCTCTTCTTCCCATGCAGCTAGCAATAGGACAAGAGGGAATGGCCTCAAGTTGCACCAGCAAAGATTCTCTGATGGGCTGCATCATCCTAGCTGCTGAAACATGAAGTAAGGCTCTCACAAATACCTCCATCTTTCATAACACAGTCCCAATTCATTCTTTTATTTCCTGCCCAAAATAGTTTAGACTGCTGTGCAAGTGAGTGAGGGAAAGCATGCAATCACACAACTCAGGGCTATGTTAATATGAGGGAATTCTGAAAGTAATGCCTCCTATTTTATTCCATTGGTCCGTGACATCAGAGGCAGATCGTGTTGGTATGGCAGTAGAGTTTGAACCTTCCCACCAACATTTCATTACATCTTGCTGTTGTGCCTCTGATGGCAACAGAGGCGCAGTCTGATAAAATGGCATCTGATATGGAATTGCGTATGAAAAAAAGGTGTGAAATTAAATTCTTTCATGTGGAAAAAATGGCATCCATTGACATTCATTGATGCTAACTGAATGTTTATGAAGATCAATCAGTGGATATGAGTACAGTGAGGTGCTGGGTGATGCATTTCAGCAATGGTGACAGCAACATGAAAGACAAGCCACATTCCAGATGTCCATACACAGCTATAACACCACGAAGTGAAGAGTATCTCCATCAGCTCATCTGTGCAAATTGGTGGATTATGACCAGTGAATTGTGTACAGATCTGAATATCGGCTTCAATGCATTGGAAACAGTTGTGGCAACCTTGGACTGCAGCAAACAGTATGCCACAAGGGATAAGCAAATGCTCACATAGGAACAGAAAGAACACTGTAAGCAAGTTTGTCTGGACCCACTGAACAAACACAAGGCTGAAGGTGACAGTTCCCAGGATTGTATCATCACTGCAGGCAAGACATGGTGTCACCACTATGAGACAGAGACAAAACAGCAGTCCATGGAGTGGCAACATGTGACTTCCCTACAGAAGAAAGAGTTCAGGACACAGCCCTCAGCAGGTAAAGTGCACTGTTTTTTTGGGATAGGTATGGGGGGATCCTTCTGGATTTCTTGAACATGGACAAACCATCAACTCTGACTACTACATCAAGACACCAACTAAGCAGAAGGCTCAAATTTCTGTAGTCAGGCTCAAGAAGATAATCTTTATTTTGCAACACAATAATGCTAGGTGCCATACCAGTTTGAAGACTATGAAGCACATTACCAATTTTGGCTGGACTGCCCTACTACATCCCCTCTATTGCCCGGATTTGGCACCTTCTGAATTCCATCTGTTTGCACCACTGAAAGATGGACTGCATGGGTAACATTTTCTAGCAGTGATGCCATCATAGCAGCTATGAAGCATTGGG